GGTGCCACCCGCGAGCACAGGAGGAAGTAGCCAGCACGCGTCATCTGCGGGCCGCCAGCAGGCACCAGGCCCTTGCGGGATGCGGGGCTGCCGCTGCTCACGGCATCCCAGGGCATCGGCGATTGCCAGTGTTGAGATGAATGGACACTGCTCTGGAGCAGCTGCTGCGGTGAAGTTTAGCTTGGCTCCGGAGGGGAGCAGGGCCCCGGCGCTGGCTTCGTCCCTCGCCCCGTGGGGGTGTGACTGTGGCATATCGCTGCCTCTCCGGAAGAGTTGCTGATTGACACAGAGGGGTGGGGGAGAGTCCCAGAGTGGCTAGGAGCTGCCTCTCGCCGGGCCCTGACCTGCGTGTTTTGGCAGGAATGTTGCCCCGGGCCAGATCCTCAGAAGATCAGTCGTTTGAGTCGAGCGGTCGTGTTGCTCTAAAAGCAAGAGGCCCGTTGTACCTAGGATGCCGAGCAGCTGTCCTGCCCCGGGCATGTCCCAGTGTAGCTCCGTCCGGCCCCTGCAGGTCAGGTCGCTGCAGGGCTGGTGTGAGCTGCCGAACTGCAGCCCGATGCCCTCTGTGTAGCCGTGGAACAGATGGGCAGGGGCAACAACAGCTCACCGGCTCCGTGACTTGCTCCTGACCAGGGCGGGCGGCAGCCCTGTTCCCTCTGCTCTGCTAACAAGGGCCGAGCGCTGGCGTGCGAGGGACTGGATTGCAACCTCCAGCTTGTTTCACGTGGGCAGCTGAAGAGCCAGCAGCTTCCAGGGGCCTGTCGGCAAGGCGTGGGTTACAGATGGGCAGGGGCAACAACAGCTCACCGGCTCCGTGACTTGCTCCTGACCAGGGCGGGCGGCAGCCCTGTTCCCTCTGCTCTGCTAACAAGGGCCGAGCGCTGGCGTGCGAGGGACTGGATTGCAACCTCCAGCTTGTTTCACGTGGGCAGCTGAAGAGCCAGCAGCTTCCAGGGGCCTGTCGGCAAGGCGTGGGTTGGACTGCCAGACGCTGTACATACGCATCGTGGCAGCCAGGCCTGGCCCCCGTGGGCGGACAGTTTAATTAGATCTCCCCATTTCACAGTTCGGCGCAGAGCCAGTCCCCTGCGTTCTCGTTCAGTGGCTCAGCCGCGTGCTTCTGCCTCTCCGGGCCATCGGGCACATCCCTTGGGCCATCGGCTGGCTGGGTCGGTCCCTCCCCCTGCCCAGCCTGTACCTGTGCACAGTCTGTGTCTCCTTCTGTAATACCCACTCACCCCTTGCTGGGAGCCCATGCTCACTCCAGAATTGGCGTTCCATCCCTTTGCCGCCATCTGTCGCAGCAGATGCAGCCCCGGCGTAGGGAGGCATCGGTTCCCTGGGGGTCGCGTCTTAAAACATTCAGGAGCCTTTCATCTGTGTGTTAGGCGTGCGGCCCTGTGCGAGCAGGAGGCTGCAGTCGATTGCCCTGTCCCCACGAGGCCGTTGGCCCGTGTGCTGCCCTGCCCCCGTGCAGTCCCACGTACTCCAGCGACGCTGCACCGGGCTGTCTGTGAGCACAGCAGCTGGCTTGTTGAGAGCCGCAAGCTGCAAATGGAGTGAGAGGATCCAAGCCGAGTGTTTGCCACAGCCTGAGAGAAACCTTCTCTGCCATGTCAAGGGATGAAATCCCCCCTTGCAGTTGACCAGCATGGAGCCCAACCACCCCTCCAAGCTCTACGGGCCTGCGGCGTAAGCCTTTGCTGGGTGTAACTAGCTCAGCCTGCTTGTTTGGGTGTCCGAGTACGGGTGTAGGTGTCCGACTCTAGATGTCTACGTTTGAAAGTATTGGTCAGTTTCTCCCCCACTATTGTAACATGGCCACACGGGAGAGATCGCGGAAGAGAGAAATGTACCAGCCTGAAAAGTAATCTCGCCACGCTGGTACATACGCTGTTGGAATTTGACCGTGATCATTGAGCTCTGGGAACATTATTTTGGAATTTTCCTGACTCACATGGGTGCTGAAATTCTCCGTCTTTACGTTATTGCATGACAGTGCACGGAGTTTGTTACACATAATCATCCTACCCAGGGTTTTCTTCCTTAAGACCCTGGCAAAGTATTTAAACACGTCCTTCGCTTTCAGCACTTAAATATTCCCAGTGAAGCCCTTAAAGTTAAGCGTGTGTTGAAGAGCTGTGCTGGACTGGGACCTAAAGCACTTCATAAATATTAACTAACCAAGAGCCCGATTTGGCCTACCCTTGCGTGGCTGCACAGTGCAGGAGGGGGTGTGTGTCTGTGTCTCCCCTTGCCTGGCCCATGTTGTACAGGGTGAGAATTGTATTCACGATGCTCAAGGAAGTGCAAGGGCTGGTCCCTCACTATGGCTGTGGGAAGGCCCCAGAGAGGGAAGGTGTGTGTGTGTGTGTGTGTGTGTGTGTGTGTGTTGGATGCTGTCGCTAG